TCATCGATGTAAGTTTTTTTTTTATTATTTCTATAATGCTTTACAATAAGTATATCTGATGAATAATCTTAAATTTTTTTAATTTATATTAGCTTCATAACAATAATTTGTCATCTCTTCCGAAAGAGTTTGGTGAACTGCAAAATCTTACCACACTTAATCTATCAAGTAATCATTTTAGCGAACTTCCTGCTTGTTTGACTACACTATCTTCTCTCGTCGAGCTGCAACTTTCTTCAAACAAATTAACCGGTGTTTTAGACTCTTCCTTTGGTAATCTGTCTAAATTAGAATTACTTGACATTTCATCAAATGAAATCACTGGACTGCCAAAGGAGATCGAAAATTTAAAAAATCTTCGAAAATTAAGTCTTGCAAAGAATAAATTAACAGAAATACCTGGTATGGCAATAAGTGGAATGAGGAATTTGGAAGAACTTGAGATTAGTGAAAATAAATTACAAATAGTGTTTACTGGGTTGGACGGTCAGACGGTCGAATTACTCTCATTGAAAAGATTAGATATTCGTCAAAATCGATTAATAGCTTTGGATGAATCTCAAAATGCTACCATGTTTCATCCAACAATAAAACTTCCTAAACTTAAAGAGTTTCTTGCTTCACTTAATCTGTTTGAAACTTTTGGTCCTCTACTTCACACAACACCTGATCTTGAGATTCTTGATATTGGGGACAATAAATTTCACGAACTTCCTGAAGGTTTAATAACATTGAAGAGTCTAAAGCGTTTAGATTTACGCAATAATGACCTTAAAGTTTTGCCAGCCGAGTTAGGTATGCTGACAGCTCTAGACTTTTTGGGCTGGGAAGGTAATCCTATAAGAAATGCACCAAAAGGTCCCAAATCTACGGCTGCGGTGTTAAAATCATTAAAAGATAGGTTGACAACTGTCGGTGAGTATATTATATTTTACTTTTTTTTACATAGAAATAAATAATTAATAATTGTTTGTTAAAATAGACTTTGAAAACATGGACGAGCCTACAATTCCAGTCAAAACTTCCACAATGGGAACTGTAAGCCAGCAGAATATTTCATCAAAGACATTAGATCTTTCCAAGAAATCATTAACTACAGTTTCTGAGGAAGATTTACAAGAAATTGCGTTTGAACCATCAACTGTATTACTTGGATTTAATCTACTTCAGACTATCCCCATTAGCTTCAATTTATTTAGAACCAGCATTACATGTTTTCAGTTGGATCACAACAAGTTTACCACGTTTCCGACATTTGAAGATAAATCTATAATTTTTCCGAACGTGAATAGGCTGGACCTGTCAGCAAATCAGCTCACCTCTTTACCAGATGACTCACAACAAACACCGTTTCCAAATTTACAAGTACTTAACGTTAACAATTGTCGAATTGAAACTTTACCAGCCAAATTCCCATTTCCTAAGCTGACAACTTTTCTTGCCACATCGAATTTACTTACATCTATTACTCCATCGACATTTGAAAATATGGAAGTGATTGATATTTCCAACAACAACATCAATTCTTTACCTCCCCTGTTAGGCGATATTACAACTATCAAGACATTACTTGTTGAGGGTAATTCGTTTAGAGTTCCAAGGTACACAATAGTGCAACAAGGTACTGCTGCTATCATGGAATATTTACGAGGAAGGATTCCACGATAATGGTGGTTGGGAATTTGTTTATTTATGTATCAAATGTTATTTTAATCTGAAATTTAAAATTCATATTACATATTAACTTGGTGAAAAAGAAAAAAAAATCGTAAAAGGCTTTGAACATTTATTACATATCTATTATATTGTTATATATTTACTGTATTACTATCTAAACACTTTATAATTTATCTATTTAAACACTTTATAATTTATCTGTCTAAACCTTTTATAATTTATATACTGTTGATTTTAACCGCTGAAAAATCTTCTCCCGGATATTATTAGACTACCCGGGTTATCCGAGTAAATTATATATTTCGGTTAGCATAATAGCCATTTCTATTCGGGGTACAATCTCTACATAAGTCACGTTCTTATGCATTAATAGATTCACAGGACGGAAATTTGAATTTTGTAAGATTAAAACTGTTAAACACACAAGAATATAATTTATTGTTCAAGTTACCGGTTTGAAAATACCCATGCCAAGTGTTGTTAGATGAACCTATAGGTTTCGTCAAAAAATTTTTAAAAAGACGAAACTGACGAAAGGTGACGAAACAAAGCTAATAAAATTAATAAAAGTTATTTTTACTTGAATATCTCTTTATTTTATTTTTCAAAAGGTATACTACCCTTTACCTTCGTAATCTTTAATCTACAGTATTATAGATATTTGAATTTAAAGAAATATTCGTGTGCTTTTTTTTTATATTTTAACCTTCTCTAATAACTCTAACGATCAAAAAAAAAAAAAATCATGATTCATCCGGTTGACGTTCTCGACCCGGTTCCGAACACTAGTTGAGGACTACAAGAAATGGTTCGAATTCACTATCACTGTTATCACTTTTGGTCAAACATTAA